TTAATGAAACTAAAATTAGTGCCAACAAACGGAAAATAAAATAAAAAATATCATTTCATAAAAAAAAATTAAACTTAAATCCAAATTGAAAATATCATTTCATTAAAAAAAAAAACTTAAATCCAAATTGAATATTATTAGCAATTTTTAATCACGAAATAATAGTTTAATAGTTTCAATCCTCTTCGTAGCATCAACGAATAATTCGCAATTTTATTTTAAAAATAAATTTTTATGTATTAATTGTTTCCTTAGTATTTTTTGTTTAGCTGATTAAGGTTACCTCTCGTATCTCTCTAACTAAACATAACCTTTCTATTCTATTAATAAAAAAGAAAACTAACTGATTTCACACTTTTTTTTTGAAAAAAAATGGTGTCGCCTTTAGTTTGGATCACCAAACAATATTTAAAACAAAACAGAATTTTTTTCTAACAAAAGTGAATCAGAACGCAAGAAAAATAAGAAACAACTGGAATCGGTTTATCGTTGTTCGTTAATCTCCTTCAATAAAAATCCATCAAGAGATTCATCTTTTTTTCATCATTCAAACCTTTTTCTTCTCTTGATAAAATTAATCAAAACAATAAAACAAATAAAAAGGGCTAGGGTTCTAGTAAGTGATTATGGGTTGTGGAAAATCAAAACATGATGTTGTTACGGGAAACACCAAGACAGTAAAAAAACCTTCGGAAGCTGAATCAGTGAAAGGCAAAGAGAACGAGACAATTAAAAGACAAGAAAGTTGCCGGTGCCAGAAAACAAATGATATCTCCGCCGTAGTTTCCGACGACCGGTTAGAGACCACCGTTGATAACAATACCAAGAAACCGGAGGAAAAGGAAGCTGGAGGAGATTGTAATGAAAATGTGGCGGAAGAGACGAATGATGTAAAGAAACCGGAGGAAACGGAAACTACGGTTAATTCGCCGCCGGTGACGGCGATTGTCCCGGAGAATGTTGTACGGGAGTATGTTGTACCGGAGAATGTTGTGCCGGAGGAGACCGTTGACAACGTGAATGAGAACGTTTTGCCTGTTGATGAACAAAAGGGTATGCATGCAAATAACATAATCTAATTAATTGGTTTAGAACGTTTCTAAAGTATATAATTTATGTTGATTGTTTTCTCTTTTCATTTTTGATGATAATTATACGTTAGAATATTATGAAGTTAATTTGATGTTGAATGTATATATATATATGCTTATTGCACAAGTATACACCAAATGTACATATTATATATCTAAGTTTTTCTTGTGAGGTATGTTGCTTAGAAAATATTGACATAAATGTTTCTTTTGATTTTGAGTAACAGAAAAAATTGATACTGAAACGGTGGTAGAAGAAGAGAAGGCTGTTGAGGGTAAAAGTGATGGAGATAGCGATACCAAAATTCAACTTCCTGAGGCTGAAGAACCCCAAGTGGATGGACAAACAGATGTACAAACTCCAGTAACAGCAGAATTAGAAGTTGATTCCATCGAAAATGACGAAATCGCGGCCACGGAGAACGACGAAATTCCGGTTTTAAAGGACGAAGATAAAGTTGATGTTGTTGAGGTATGAAAGTAAGGTTAACATTAGAGCTTGATACTAGTACTTAGTTTCTTTTTTCTTATTTTTCTTTTTGATTCTCATCTATTGGTAATTAGTTTGATCTCATTATCATGAAGCTTATAAAACTTAATTGATACAAGAAACCTCTTATAAAAATTGCCATGTTGTGTTTGGTTTGTGTAGGAAAAACCTGCCGAGATAACAAAGGAAGTTGAGTCTGCATGAAGAATACAAAATTACTAAGCAACGTTGATCCATTTTATGATACTCTATGCACCACCAAAGCAGATCTAACCCATGTTTCTTTCTATTTATTTCTATTTAAACAGTGAACTAGAAAATTCATACAAAAAAAAAGGAAACAGTGAACGATAAAAGATTGTAAGCTATTTCATTTATACAAGCTTGAACCTATAAATTGGAATAAGTCTTTACGAAATTCTTTCTTCACAATAATAGTGAACAAATTAATCACCACACTAGTTTTTCAAAAAAAAAAAGTCTTTACACAATTCTTTGTTCACAATAATAGTGTGGTGATTAATTTATGCATATATACTGCTAATAGTATATAATTAATATCTAACAATTTTCGCAAAAATTCATTTTCTTATCAAATCGTGCATTCCTTACAAATATAGAACTATATTTAATATAAAGTGATAGGATGGTATATAAGAAGGTATGGAATTAGATGCAATTATACGATATGTGCAGTTAGTTAGTTGTACGTAAGTCATGTACTATGAATATGATGACCTTGTAATTTGTCATATATGAATAACGACTCTCCGGATCAGTGATAGGCCACTTTCGATCCAGAAGTTATGAAAAAAAAACTAAGCCTTATCGTCATGGAATAGATCGAGCTTTATCGATGTCAAGAATCATACAAAAACTACGTACCTTTATTCCCAAATTGATTTATGATGAAAATTTTGTGAAAAATAATAAAATAGTGTTTTGGTGGTAAGTGAAGAGGCCACGTAATCCTCAACACAACAAAAATAAAAGATCAAGTCTTCACGAAGTAGAGCTCTACTTTTATCATGTTTAAGTTCATATGTATATGTCAAAGGGTGGGCTTTAATCAAAGAAATTTGGAGAAAGATTATTAATTTAGTTTAAAGCATCAACACATGTCCAAGTTCGAGTTCTCTACTGGCCAGTGCAGTTAACATCAGAAGTTTTAGATAAATTATGACACAATGAGGCTGAAGTTTCTAATTAAGTAAACAAAAAAAACTATGTAACATCAATTAAATGTACTTAAAATGTGATTAAAATACATTTCTTTTGACAATGAAAATATAAGGCCATACGGCCCGTACTGTAAAGACATGACATGATTCGTCCGTATCAAATATTCCTCACATCTTAAGAAATTTTGTCTTCTGTACTTTTTACCCAATTAGTTGATAGTTTAATCTTTAGCTGCAAAAGTCAAGAAGGTGTGAACTGTGAAGCGACCATAGCCTCAAAATATTTCCGATACTCCCACTATCTTAATTTTTCAATTTTCATTAATTAAAATGTGTTTTTTCATGCTAAAAGTCGATTCTCTAGAAAAGTGCTCTTCGTACACCGAACCCATAACCTAAGAAAGCTATATATAAAGGTATAGACACTTCATTTCATCAAACACATAACCTCAAAGTCACTACTCATCTTCACCCAAAGATATCACAATCTCTCAATAAGTTCTCTAGCTAGCTTTCCAATTTTCCTCTTTAGTCTTTTTATTTCAACCAAAACAAACCCATCTTCGTCCTTTGGGAGCCACTTTCTAGTCACTATTTCATACTATAACGTCAATGGAGAAGCTACAGAAGATGATCTCCGAGAAGTCGGTAGTGATCTTTAGCAAGAACTCATGCTGCATGTCTCACACAATCAAGACTCTCTTCTTAGACTTCGGCGTGAACCCAACGATTTATGAGCTCGATGAGATCACCAGAGGAAAGGAGATAGAGCAAGCATTGGCTCAGCTGGGCTGCAGCCCGACTGTGCCAGTGGTTTTTATAGGAGGGCAGCTCGTGGGTGGAGCCAATCAAGTTATGAGTCTCCATCTCAATCGCTCTCTCGTTCCAATGCTTAAACGCGCCGGGGCTTTATGGCTTTGATTAAATAAAAAGGATATATACTTACGTAAGGCATTGTTAATTAATAATCTAATGAAACTAATCAAATTAAGAATGACAAAAAGAAAAAGTGAAAACATATAGTACATGTATGTACGAATCTTTTATCTATCAGAGTTTTGAAAGGATAGATTATGATACCTATTTTGTGACGTGTGGCTATATTTTATAATAAACCAGTTAATTTGTTGGATTTCTGATTTCTCATATTTTATATACATACATGCATGCATATGAGAACAACGTATGAAGTTAACAAATTTGCACTGAATAGTCTCTATTCCAACGGAAAATGAGGAAATCGTGGGCACGGAAAACGACGAAATTCAGGTTTTAGAGGACGAAGATAAAGTTGATGTTGTAGAGGCATGAAAATTCAAATAACATATAGAGCTTGATATAGGTAGTTAGTTTTTTCTTTTCTTTTTTGTTCTCTATTCGTAGTTTTACAAAAGAGATTAACATATATCTTGAATCCATGCCAAAAAGAGTTATAAAAACAAAGAATCCAAAGTAGATGAACACTATAGATATGTGTCCTTGTAACCAAATTAAGAGCTACTAGATTGCCAAATTTCTTTCGGTGTCTTCAGCCGTAATGGTATTGCGAATCTACCAGTTAATTTCTTTCGAATCGAGGGAGGGGCATTTTGCTGATTATGTACTCTGTCATTGCGCTGTCTCCAGATAGTTGTTCTCATTCTCATGATAGATTATATATACTTATAAAACTTGCCAACCTTTTGGGTTTTGTAAGAAAAACCATGTAAAGATAACAAATGAAGTTGAGTCTGCATTAAGAAACGTTGATCCAATTTTACTTTTAAAAAACAAAATTTGATCCATTTTATGATACTCTATGCACCACTAAATCAGATATACTGTCTCTTTATATTTATTAAACAGTGAACTAGAAAATTCTTACAAACAAAAAAAAAGAACATTGAACTATAACAGATTGTAAGTTTTTTCAAACTTGAAACTATAAATGGAATAAGTCTTTACAAATTTCTTTGTTTGCATTGTGAAGAAACGAAGTTCTCAAAAGTTAAATCACAATAATAGTGTGGTGATTAATTTATGACTATTTACCTTCTAATGGTACATAAATAATATATATCACTTAGCTTACATTTATTCTTGTCAATTCGTGGATTCATTACATATATAGAACTCTATTTTATATAAAGTGATAGGATGTTATGAGGGTATGGAATTAGATGCAATTATATGATATGCATGTAACGTACTTAGTTGTGGTTGTGAAGTTGTAAAAAGGTTTTTTGTTTTATTTCATTCATAGGTAATGCCAATTTATAGTAGTTACAGCATTGATCTAGTTTTGATTCAATACAAATCATAAACGTAGCCCAATATCGGCCCAATAC